GGTGATTGTTTGACCCTGTGATGAGTACTCGTGGTGTACCACACCGCGGGAGTCAAAGAAAACAGTCAGCATCACTTTGACGTTGCTGCGCACTTGGCGGGCCTTCTTTGGTCTTGGTGACGTGGAATGCTTCCACTGTGACGACTGGGATTTGGTTTCCGGGTCGTACCCGTACACCCAAGACTTGTCACCAGTGATTATGGTGTTCATGAAGTTGGGGTCACTGTTTGTGGAGTCCAGCATGTCCTGTGAGACTTCAACACGAAGTTCCTTTTGCTCCGCCGTAAGCAGCTTCGGCACGAATTTCGCCGCCACTCTCTTCATAGCCAAATCTTTGGTCATAATGGAATGTGCCGAAAAAGTGCTGATGCCCACCTCTTCCGCAATTTCTCGGATAGTCACACGACGGTCCCGCATCACCATAGAGTTCACTTTGGCAATGACCTGGTCATTTCGGCATGTTGATGGCCGACTTACTGCTACAATCGATTGTTGCTTGATTTGTTACACGTCTCAGACTGGTTTTGTAGGTATGGTGTTTTGAGTTGCGCTGCTACAATCGATTGCTGCTTGATTTGTTACACGTCTCAGACTGGTTTTGTAGGTAGAGTGTTTTCAGTTGCCTATTAATCACCACAGAAAAATTCTATTTCTTTAATGCGAGTTCAAGAATATGCAGCATTGGTGCTACTAATTTATTTTTTAGGAATTCTTCAGCCGACAAGCTGTTTGGATTACTTAAAAATAAATGTGAAGCCCAGTCTATTATTCAGCTCATCACTAGTCGCTGATTTATACTGATTTTGGGAAATTCTATCCATCATCAGTAACCTTGAACAAAGACAACTCAAAAGAACAAGACTATGCATCATATAATGGTTCAGCGTATATGTCTAAGTTGTCTCTTACTCACTCATATAATGGTTCAATGTATATGTTTGGGTAGTTTCTTACCACAGAGAACCTATATTTATTTTCACACTGGTTTTGTGTAGTGGATGTAGGCAGTTCAGGAAAAGTAAATTCTACTTGCACTTATTTAGATGATGGAATGGATGTATCAGGTTGTGAACTGTTATGTTCTCATCAGAATCATCCTGAATCAGGTTTTATTTAGTAACTACAAGGAATACGTCACTGTAGTTTTGATATGTAAGCTCTGAATATCATGGGCTTGATTCTTAAAGGATCTTGCTTGTAATCTGATTTAATGCTTTATATTTCTTTTTGTATCAATAGGTAGCAATTCCATTTTTTGCTTTTCCTAAAACTTTAAAAAAAGAAAAAGAACGCCTGATGCATGAAAACTGTGAACAGTATGATTTTACTGGTACAAGTGGAACCCCCATTCAGGAGGAGTGGCATTTACCTGGAGAACAGGAACCAAATACCCAAATATTACCTGATGGAGAAAATAAACAACAGAAATATGGCAAGGATATCAAAGGTCTGTGTCTTATACATGTCAGTATATGTTACCAATAGAAACCATGATGTAATTATGGTGTTAATTTTTCAAGGAATATTTTCTTTTTCTAGTGAATTAATCCAATAAACAAAAAAAAGTGAAAATAAATTATTAAAGAAGGTTAACGTAGAATAGTGTATTGTCAAAGCTACTTTGATCAGTTTTGTGATCAGGAGGAAGCTTAACACAGACAGCAAATGTTTTAACGGGTAAAATGGCATGGGATTTTTGGTAACTGTATGATAAAACATTTGATGGGTTTTTTAAGGATAAATTAAAGGTTTTTCATTATAAATTTTTGAGGTTATCTAAGGTCATAAGTTTTGAGGTTATCTAAGGTCATTATAAGTTTTGAGGTTATCTAAGGTCATTATAAGTTTTGAGGTTATCTAAGATCATAAGTTTTGAGGTTATCTAAGGTCATTATAAGTTTTGAGGTTATCTAAGGTCATTATAAGTTTTGAGGTTATCTAAGGTCATTACAAGTTTTTGAGGTTATCTAAGGTCATTATAAGTTTTTGAGGTTATCTAAGGTCATTATAAGTTTTTGAGGTTATCTAAGGTCATTGTAAGTTTTTGAGGTTATCTAAGGTCATTATAAGTTTTTGAGGTTATCTAAGGTCATTACAAGTTTTTGAGATTATCTAAGGTCATTATAAGTTTGAGGTTATCTAAGGTCATAAGTTTTTGAGGTTATCTAAGGTCATTACAAGTTTTTGAGATTATCTAAGGTCATAAGTTTTGAGGTTATCTAAGGTCATAAGTTTTTGAGGTTATCTAAGGTCATTATAAGTTTTTGAGGTTATCTAAGGATTAATTTCCGTCACTGGAGTGTGCATGATAGCCTTTGTTTACATTATTAGAGTGTTATTGGAAGAAAAACTGAGAAAGTAATGATACATGAAATCATGATGTTGTTCCTGTATAAAACAAAACTCTGGTGACCATAAAGCACAGATGCTATGTGAAAGAGTATGTAGAGACATGAAATGTTGAAACTTATAATATCTTTCTGTCAATAGAACTTCCTCAGTACAGCCGGGTCAAAGTGCACATGTCACAACCTTTTGTAGAGTTATATTCAGAATTTATTAAACATTATTTTTAATGTATGTTCGTAAACTTGGCATCATCGAAAGGTAGTTCATAACTCAAATTTTAATATTATCTTAGTTTCAATTTCAAAAAGAAATGTTAAGAACAATTCTCAGTTTTCTCTCTTCTTTGTCACTTGATGCGTCTGGCTTTAGTCTCTCCCTTTTAGAATTTTCTATCATAAACTTAAGGCTGCTGTTACTAACAACCAACTTAGAATATGAACCACAAGTAATGATAAGAAATAATATAAAATTTGATACTTCTAGCTTCTAGATTTGCTAATATACCAATAAATTTGTAAAACGTACTTCAGAACCCCCCTTTTATCTTTTCGTGCATCTCAGGCTAATTACTACCTTACATCTACATGTCTGGTGGGCACGTCTAAAACAAATAGGAGTATATTACAGTTTACAGGAATTTTAAGATTATTTGTTGACAGTTTGACAGTTCAAAAAGATAGAAATTCAGAAGAAAAGCTTGAAGTGTGTATTAAGTAAATTTGTTACTTTTAGTGCTAACAGAATTTTTTGAAAAACCTATATATGAGGCCTGTGAGAAAAGTATCCGACCTTATTTTTTTTTGCGATAACCTGATGGATTTGAATCAAGCGCGCTTGCATGAGCCGACCTTGAACCTTCGTGCACATGCGTGAATTTTTTCCCGCTTGTTGATTGTGTCAGTTGTTGGCAAGCAGCCATTGAGTGAGGTAGTGTGTAGTGCTCTCGTCGGTTTTTCATTGCTAGGAAAATGACGGAACAACTGGAGCAGCGCTACTGCATCAAATTTTGCCAGAAACTGGGCGACAGCCAGGTGGAAACCATTCGGAAGATTCAGACGGCTTTCGGTGATGATGCTATGGGCATCACACAGATTAAGGAGTGGTACAACCGGTTTAAAGACGGCCGCACAACGGTGGAGAGCGAGCCACGCTCCAGGTATAGTGTTTTGAGTTGCACAAAACCAGTCCGAGACGTGTAACAAATCAAGCAGCAATTGATTGTAGCAGTGCAACTCAAAACACTCTGCCTACAAAACCAGTCCGAGACGTGTAACAAATCAAGCAGCAATCGATTGTAGCAGGGCAACTCAAAACACTATACCTACAAAACCAGTCTGAGACGTGTAACAAATCAAGCAGCAATCGATTGTAGCAGGGCAACTCAAAACACTATACCTACAAAACCAGTCTGAGACGTGTAACAAATCAAGCAGCAATCGATTGTA